CTTCACCACAAGGAGGTCCTATCTGCCTCTTCTTCTCACTACAGTTGAAGCCGTGCCGATCACAGACACGAAGTAGACACCTGACAGCCAAATTAAGAAGCTTTTCAGAATCTGCTCTCACGACTAAATCGTCCATATAGAAGCAGAAACACACTGGAACATTGCCGTTCTTTATCAGATGCAGATAGAGACCCAAAAAGTCACTGCGAGCCTCATTACAAAGTCGTTGCATAGCATCCAACAAACAACCAGGCGAATGTGGTGCACCCATGGGTGGAGAACGAAGCCGATAGAGATTTCCACGAAATGGGATGCAGAACGTATACGATTCACTGTCCGAATGTAGAAGCATATAAAATGCCATAGAGATATCCAACGTTGCAGCACATTGAAACATTCTAAAGCCACTGAGCGCTGTCAATGTACTCCGCAACACACGATCATCAACTGCTTTATGACCCAATCCCGATCCTATGAGCCCAGCAAAAGCCCGACCATCAAGAACGGGTCTTACTGGCATGGTCCGGGAATTGGAATACACTGCAAAGTGTCGTAAAAGAGCTTTACAACGATGGTAATGCTCAGTAGGAACCACTTCAACGATACCATGCTGCAAATACTTATCAAAAACTGCAGCATAAGAATCCAGATGTCCTGACTCACGTAAATGGTCACTGAACTTACGATCGGCATCAAGAGCCTTTTTAATAGCATTTAAATCAGGAATCACTGGGCGCTTACTACTGAGCCACGGTATACCATAAGTAAAACGATCCACTACTGTCGTACGACCTTCTAAATCAATATGGTTATCTTTGACAAATCCTATAAACCGAGTCTTATTGCAACCCTCGACATCCTCATCAACAATATCAACTGAGGAAACTTCAGGCTCAGTATCCGAGGCCAGAAGAGTGGGTCCACAAAACTCTTCGAACCTTGAGGAAACCTCACTAGACAGTATCATATGCAACTCGGATTGAGGCTCCTCAGGCTCGCACAACATCATGAAATTCAGACCCATTTCCTCTGTATCCCCGAATTGAGACTCCGAAGCCGGGTGCAAATAAGAAACGCTGTTAGCAATTATAGTGGCATCAGCAGCAGCATGAGTCTGAATCCCAGCTTCTTGAGACTGCTTATCATCAGTCAAACCGATAGAACGAACAGCGGAGTCAGCAACACCGGATTTAAGAAGTATCGAATCAGGCGACAGATACAATACTAGATTCATACAACGTAGGCCTGCCATACCTAATATCACAGAGGTAGAGAGAATTGGACTCACAAGACACCAAACTGGGATCACATCTGACTTGCCAGGAGCAGAAAAGTGCAATAACACAGCAGTATTAGAGGTAAACTTGCGACAATCAGCCATCATAACCTCCACCT